CTCCGGAATGAGTTTTTAGACAATTCACACATAATTTTTTATTTTTGACGATAATGTGCCTATTTTCAACATTCATTTGTTTGAATGCACTACATTTAAAGAGGGCATGGTTTCCTTTACAATGGATACATTTTTTTGAGTTGGAATGAATTGAATTTATAACAAAACCTTTTGGTTTTGCACCGATACTGGGTTTAGGAGGAAATTTGATAGGCATATTTTTATGAATGCTTTCTAGTACCAAAGTTCGGTTTTCAAGAAAATTTAAAAATTCATCGAGTAATGGAACATCTTTAGATTTTAAGGTAAGCTCAAATTGCTTCCGGGTTTCCTTGTCAATTTTCTGAAGGAGAATGTTTATTAAAATTGCGTTAGATAGCCTATCAAGATTGTACTCTAACGTTTTTAAGGCGCGTAGATTGCGTTTGGTATGATCTAATAATCGGCGAAGTTCCTTAGGTGATTCCTGCTGAATTTTTTCTTGATTCAAAATATTTTGAATATGACTATCCACTATCGCTCGTTTATTTTCATATCTTAATTCTAAAGCTTGAAACAGTGACTTGTATGTATCTTCGCAATTCTCGATATTTTTTGCTTCTCCTTTAAGAGCAGCCTTTAAATAATAAAGTTTTTGTGTTTCAGTTAATTTCTCATTTTCAGCAATTAAGGATATGAATTGGCATTTAAAATCATGAAATTCTTCATATTTTCCCGAGAATTGAGGTAAAGGTATTTCAGGCAATTTAACATTAATATTTTCAACAGTATTTTTACGTACTGGTAATGCATTAACTTTTGATTTTAATTTTGAAAGGATGTATTTGAGACTTACCTCCATTTTCTCCAGATCGTCCTCCAGTTCTTCAATAATTTCACAAGATTCCTCTATGGTGACCTCTGCTGGTAGATTGAAGTACCGCTGTTTTAATTCATCCAAGGGTCGCTTTATTCCTGATAACGATTGCAATTTCACTTCTAAAAATGATTCACTTTCTTCATTTTCGACGAAGTCACGCAGAGAATGTTCCAGTTTTGTGACTTTTGCTTTCAGACAACCGCGTTGCCTATTCAAAGATATTACATTATCCATAGTTGCTGTTCTTTCATCGGGTCGGTTAGGACCAAAATGTTGATAGCAGTTGGTAGTTGTGGACTGTATATTAATTCATAAAAGTCAAGTTGAGAAACTTAACAACATTTATTTTCTTTCAAAAACAATAATGCCGCTTAAACGGGCAAAGAGTGAGTAAGGAATAATTAACAATTGACTGCCGCTTTGTTCGGGCAGAGGAACGGAGACTCGATGTAGACTGAGTGCATCCCTATCGCTTACTGATTAGTACTGGGCTCTTGCCACTAACATTACGTGGCGCTGCAAGCATTAAGCCAGTACAAATAGACATAAATATTCTAACCGAGATGGAACAGCGTGACCCCAAGTGATCTCATCTCACGTAAACTACGCTACAAAAGTCTAGTTCTCTCAGTAATTATCTACATTAATTTCTAGTTAAATCTTAATTTGGAATACAAGTTTAAATGCAAGAATTATTTCAATTCATACGAATAGCTTACCTAGAAATTATGTAAAACCTCAGTGATTTACTTCGCTAGTGCATTCTCATTTGGATTGATGAGTTTAACACTTGACATGTCTTTTCTATATTTTTGCCTTCGGGAGAGTGTTGTGATTGCATCATAATTTACCTAATTACCGCGAATGACCTTAAGGCATAAAATTGAACTATCTGGTAAAAATTCTACGTAATTGTATGCCAGTATTGAAAGAAACAATCAATCTGATAAGAAATGGCTGCTACATGTTTTGAAAATGAGGCGTGAAAGGTTACCAGCAAGAATATTTCGTTTGGCATCAGCTGTACCATTATTGCCGACTTTATCGCTTGCGCTGGCAAAACGGAAAAGTACCAAATATAATGTAAAGAACGTTGTGATTTTTTTCCTCTCACGGGAAAGGAAAATAGGTTGCCATATATTAAGAAGTTCACCAAGTGAACTATTCTTGGCGCAAACTGAAAAAAAGCAGCAACATAAATTTGTGAATTTTACAAAATTTCATATTCGGGCATAATTTGAGTTGTAGAATCGAAATATGGAAAAGAAATTGGTATGTTATTTCAGAAAAAAGTCCAATTTCGTGTCAAAATAACTATGTTAGAATAGATCTATATATAAATCTAATATATATGTTAAGTCGCACTTTTGAGACATGAAGAACGCAATTTGAATTTCGTCAATCTGCCGAGTAGAACGGGAGATATAGAACTGTCTCCCCTTTTTTTTGGTGCAGTGTACATAAGACGACTAGATCATCCAAATTCTTCTGACTTAATTCGTGTGGCACCCATCTTGAATATTTCCACACCAATCCTATCTTCCGAATATGGTCCGAAATGGGTTGCTGAGCTGAATTAAGCCTTTCTGTGATCTCCGATGTTGTCAGAAAAGGATCTTGCTCTAACATGCTTTTAGCAACATCGTCGTCGATCAAAGATGGTCTCCCAGAATGTGGCTTATCAGAAAGGTTGAAATAACCTGTTTCAAATTTTTCGAAACATCTGCTTGTTCTATCAGAAACTGTACCTTCACCAAACACTTTCAATAAATTTCTACATGCTTCTGTAGCTTTTCTTCCTTGTTGAAATTCGTATAAAATACAGTGGCGTAAAAGATCTTTATCAGTAGCCATGGCTAAACTATCGCTTCACACTTAAGACTAAGGTGAATCAGCTTTGCTTTAGTTAATTTGCTACTTCAGTATGCATACGCTAAGTTTATAAAAATAGAGAGCTGTACGTGCATCAAATAAACATGTGCTTACGCGTCCAAAATTGTTATCATAGAAATGGACAGAACTTTCCAGTAGACCTTATAGTTTCTGTTTTGCATTAATCTCTGATGTAAATTTTAAAACAGCTGCTCTAGTGTAAATATTTTTCTCTTGTTCCTTTTGCATTTTGAGTGGAAACTCGTTAAACATATACAGTAAAGTCCGTAATCCGGACTCGTCGGGACTACGGTGATTCCGGTTTAGGGGTTTTTCCGGATTATAGATCATCAATTTAAATCTAGTAAGATGGCATGCAGAAATTACACAATTAAAAATATGAAACCATAATTTTTGAAATAAAGAGCAATTATGATCTAAAGGGTATCAAATTTTACAAAAAAAAAAAAAAAAAAAAGCTTAATACTTATTTTTTTTACTTTATTAAACATTTCTTTCAACACGTGCATGCATAAAGTGTGTGGCTTTGAGGACCGGATTATAGATCATTCCGGATAATGGACATCCGGATTACAGACTTTGTACTGTATTATACTCAGCAACCACATTTGCTGCAAAATTTTCTGAAGTAATATTCTTTTATATTTTTGTCTTCCTTTTTTTTTTTTTTTTTTTTTTTTTTTAATTTTGTATTATCCCAGTGATTGTAAAATTTTGTGGACATTCTGCCTAAGCTGTACCAGTTGTTTTTGTAGAATTCTTATCTGCACTTTTGTGTGCAATTCTTACTATAAACCATTCATCAAATCTGTCTGTACAATCCACCAAATAGTTGCCCTTGTGGAAGTATTTGACTCGCTTCATTTTCGAGCTTTATAACAGGCTTTAAGTGATTTCTGCTGTTTTGTTTAGAATGCTATGTATACAGACTTCCTTCAGGTGATTATTTCTATTTATTGGTGCTAAGTCAGTGATATCTAGCTGTTATTTTTTTTTTTCATTCAACAGATGTTAATTCTCTTGACTTGTAAATGAACTGGAGTGCAGTCAGAAATGTGATGCTTCAAAATAATAATATTTTCCTCCAAAGTTCAAGAAAAAATTCAGCATAAGAGTTAATTTATATCCACGTTAATGAAAACGAAAGATGGCTTATCAAGAATCAATTGAGGTTACATCAAATTAAAGCTCAGATGTTATGAGTGTGTTGTGACATCACACTTATATATAAGAATTGATGTCATGTCACTCTTATCTGTATCTGTAATGGCAGTAAATAATTCTGCTTGGCAACATTTTCATGTTCAATACCTTTTTTTTCTTCTATAGTTATGTCTTGTAAATAGGGTTTTTATCTTCCACCTGGGCTGTGTTCTATCATCTCTTTAAATTATCTCCGTTACCTTTATTAATTTCATATATGTCACTGACATATGAACTAAATAGTCATTTAAAGTTCAGTATATGTGCAAGTTATTCATCTTCATTATCCTGAGTAATTTATGTGTGTCATTGATATGTATAATCAAAGTGCAGAGCTGCCCATCAAGTAAAAAAAAAAGATTCCAAAGAAGAATCCACCATAAAAATTTTCAAAAGATTTCACCGTAAGTTTAATCTTCAGTCCACTACATACTGTTTATCTTACGTACTAATATGGAATGCATCACTTTATCATAGACATAGATTTGAGAATATATTCCTGTATGTTCTTTTCCAGGCATATCTTAAAATATTATGTGGGGAAGATTTAAGTTAACGCACGATGGCTTAGCACTTGAGGCTTCCTTGGAGAGAAGGGATGGGGTAACTTTCTGAAGAGCCTTCTTAGAGAAAGTAGCTCATATTCATCTTGCACTTGAAGAAAACTACGAAAACACTCCTGCAGTTCATTCATGGGCATTGGAATCTGGGTTATAAAATAACCTTAAACTTACACCAGTGTGCAGAAATTTTCATTTATATTTTTTAGAATTTATTTTAAAAAATAATTCCTGTAGATTCAGATAATAAATTTTATGTGCAATTTAAGCATAATATTATGATTTAAAGAACTATTGTGGATACTAATGAAAGTGTAAAAGAACTTAAAAAAAGTATGAATGTATGTATGATTGTGCAGATGTTAAATTGGTTGCAAAATTTAAACTGAACTGTGCAAATTATTTTTTTTTACCTTGAAAATTTTTATATAGGTTTATTATTGTTATTTCTTTATTTTAATATAGTAATATTATGTTATTTTCAGGCATATTTGGCTTTAAAAGATTATGAAGTGGCAAAAGATAATTTTGAACGTGTTCTAGAAGTTGATGCTTCCAATAAAGCTGCCCAAAAAAATATATATATGTGTAATGAGAGTATTAAAAAACAGCTTGCAAAAGAAAAGAAAATGTATCAAGCAATATTTAAGAAAATGGCTGAAGAAAGTGTGGAGGTTAGTGTTTCTTTTATATTGTGGTTTAATTTGAGTAATGTTAATATGAACTTCAATGAATGCTTGCATGATGATGCAACCACTATCATAAAATTTTGCCAAATTTTCAGAATATGCCACATTCTGTCAACCATGTGCATAACAATCCTTTAGTATTAACAAGCAAGTTTGCTATTTTTGTGTATGTTTGTGTTGTGTTCTAATAGTTTAAACCCTTTCAGGATGGGCGTCCCATATACGCATTCCCTAAGAACGTCTCTTACAGCCGGGCGTCCCATCCACGCATCGCTAGAGATTGCATCCAGAAAACAGGTGATGCGTATACGCATTTTAAGCTGGAACGTTTTTCTGAAGGCCACTAGATGGCATCCTATGTCCATTACTTTTGAAATGAACACAGTTTTAAGTTCCTGACCTTGAGTTTGATATATTCTGCTTGACTTTGGTATTTTACTCATCAGCTTTTGTGAGGGTGGGGGGGGGAGGGAAAGTGTAAACAGAGGTGAGCTCTTTAAATCGCTGCGTGCTAATGAAAACATTTGCGTGTCTGATTTTAAACAAAATATGTGTAAATCTCTAATAAATCAGACTGGATCGCAGTTAAAGTAATAAACAGAGGAGCGTTCTTCCACACAACATTTATTCACGAACACCAAAGACGAACTGATACATATACATAATTGACATCACAGTTCTTTTTACAAAAAAACACTACCGCCATCTATTGGCGATCTATGGATACCACAATCCTAACTTAACACTCCCCCCCCATGCATCCGTAACGGATGCATCAATTTTATTGAACTTCAAGATTATAAAGTCTTTCAATGGTCTTCTAACAACACCCTTATCCAACTGAATCTCACAAGATCTAATTCTATCATTACTTCCGTGAAATAATTCCTTAATCCTACCTATCTTCCAGTTTACAGCGTTTCACATTATCTTCTCGTACAAGTACAACATCATTAATTTTAAACACGGGAGAATTCTTTGGAGTGTTTGAAAACATAACTGATCTTAGTTCTAGCAAATATTTTTTACAGAACCTTTTCTATAAATGCTCTAATATTAAGTGCCTGTGCTTCCATCTTTTAATCAACTGAGATCTTGTAGATTCTAGTTTAGATTTCAGGTGAAGGTAAAACAGTCAATCTAGATCCAGTTATAAAATGAGATGGTGAAGAGGATAAGGTTCATTTTGTTCATTGTATACATACGTTATAGGTCTAGAATTAATAACAGCTTCAACTTCAACTAACACAGTATACAGTTCTTCATAATATAAAGCTTTACCTAAGATACGTTTTAAACAAGTTTTTACAGATCTTACCAAACGTTCCTAGAATCCGCCCCACCAAGGAGCACCTTCTACAATAAATTTCCATTCAAACCCATTTTTACCAAGGAAATTTAGAACCTTTTCATCTTTACATAATTTATACAAATATTTTAATTCACGATCAGCAGTCTTAAAGGTTTTAGCATTATCAGAATTTATAACTCTACAAATACACCTACGTGCAAAAAATCTACGTAAGGCTTGAATGAAACACTCTGCACTTAAATTTGATAACAATTCTAAATGGACTCCTCGAGTCATTGCACAGGTAAACAATGAAATATACACTTTTATACCATCCTTTAAATACAAAAAGCCAGCGAAATCTATGCCACTTACCTCAAATGGTTGAGCTTTCTCCACTCGATCAGCAGGAAGAGGAGCCGATATCTCGTGTCCAGCTTTAGCATTATATTTTTTACAAAATCTACAATCATGTAACACAGATTTTACAAAACCTCTAGCTTTTAAAATCCAAAATTTCTCTCTTACTTGCACTAAAGTTTCATTTACACCACTATGAAGTACCTTTTCATGACAATTCAAAATAATTAAACGAGAAAAATAATTATTTGGTAATATTATAGGCTGAATTTCATCGACATCTAATGATGACTAATTCAGAAGTCAAACAATTTTGAAAATATAACGCTGATTTGTGTTGCTTGACTTCTGAATTAGTATTTATTCGGCGTGCTATTGTGTCTTAATTATCTAATGATAATTTTTCTAATCTACTTCCAACTCTTAAACAACCCTTTTACATCCATTACTGGATTTAACCCAGAACAATTTGGAATTTATGAGACAATGTTTTTTACTTTAACATCATTCAATTCTTCAAAAAAATACTCGCCTTCTGATAAGATAATCCAATAACACATAGCATTACATATTTTCATTTTTGGTCACAGGACCAATCACTCTATTCTGTGACTTTAAATTATTAATGAATCTAATACATATGACGTGACTCTTAAAAGTTTACCTAAGTCACTAAAGTTTTCTATTTTTAACACGGGTTTGTAAAGGTTGAACACTACTAGTAACTTGAGTCACAACTCTTTCTTCAACACTATCTACTATGCTACAATGCTTGTTCACTTTAGGCCAATTTATTTCATCTTGATGAAGCCATGGAGGTCCATGCCACCACACTTGATCTACTACAAGATCACTCACTTTAACACCGCGTGTAATTTTATCGGCTGGATTATCTGAGCCAGGACAATGATGCCACATGCTCGGGGATGTTTTGTCTTGAATTTCAGACACTCGATTTTGAACGAATGTTTTCCATCGCCGTGGTGAGTTCTTTATCCAATGAAGCACAATAAGAGAATCTGTCCATAAATGAATCTTAGCTTGAGGAAAATGCACACGGACTGTAGTTACAAGTCTTGCACCTAACACTGCTGCCATAAGCTTGAGTCTTGGTAAAGATAATTTTTTCAGGGGAGCCACTCTGCTCTTGGCTATCACTAAACTTGTTCCACAATATTTTAAGCTACGGAATTTCACGTACACTGCTGCTCCATAAGCACTTTGAGATGAATCACAAAAACAATGTAGTTCCAGTGTTTCAGGCGTTTCATCATCACGAAAATACCACCGAGGTATCTGGATATTAGGTAGATCACATAGTTGCCTATACCATTTGCTCCACTTGTCTTGCAATTCTGGTGGGATAATTTCATCCCAATCAACACCTTTCAGCCGTAAATCATGAAACAGAACTTTTGCTTGAATAACATATGGAGCAAGAAACCCAACAGGATCGAAGATTTTTGAAGCAGCTTTTAAAACACAGCATTTTGTTTGGTCATTTGACTGGATGAAATCAATAACGTCTTGTGCATTAAAACAGAAGATATCCTTAATTGTATCCCATTGAAGTCCAAGAATCTTTGAGGGGGAATCACAGTCAGGCAATTTAAAGCTAAAGTTGTCACTTGATTTTTATACTGGTTTTTACAGTATCCGAATTAGAATTCCATTTGGTCAAAGTCATTGATGCCTTTTTCATTATATCATTGGCTTCATGATATATCTGTATAGTTTCCTCCTCCGTTCTGATCCACAAATAAAATCGTCAACATACATGAAGTTTTCTAACATTTCTACAGTTCTGGGATGGATGTCCTTCAAATTTCTTTATATGATGCTTAATGCAAGTGCTCAGCAAAATGGACTTGATTTGCTCCAAAAATTACACGACACATCCGATAAACTTGAATTCTCGGATTGCTCAAACTTGAATTCTCATCAATCCACAAAAATCGCATTGAATCCCGATCTTCAGGTGCAACAGAAATTTGTAAAACGCTTTCTCAATATCTGACGTAAATGCAATTCGATGAAGTCGAAAATTTATTAAAACTTTCAAAAGTTCAGGAAGAAGATTTGGTCCTTGTAGTAAATTATCATTTAGAGATTCATGATTTTTTTCCTTTGAAGAAGCATCATAACAATGCGAAGTTTCGTAGAATTATGATCTTCACGGATGACAGCACGATGAGGTATGTAGTAAGTTCGTCTCCCAGATGGAGTGCCAAGATCGACCTTTTCTATGATTTCTTCCTTAAGCTGATAGTCAATCACTTCTTTATATTGCGCATATAAAAGTTCAAGTTTGATTTAAAATGTTCGATCAGATTTAAAAATCGTCTTTCAGCATTCTAAAATTGTCTCTTAAAGTCACATTCTGATCTTTCCATGGAAGTCTAACTTCGTATCTATCACCCTTTTGTGTAATCGAGTTGTTAATATTTGCAAGCCATTTCATTTTGTTCTTTGTCAGAAATATTTTTAATTCCTATAGATTCAATATCCAAAACGATTCGACGCTTTTTAGAAGTTTCTCTTCTACACTTACGTTTTAAACACGCATCATGGATTTAAAAGTCTGATGAAGGAAAATTTGCCTTGTATACACCACCCAAACAAGGTTTTCATAGCTACGGCATTTCGTTTATCCTTTTTATTTCTTCGCTTGCTATTTTCCACATAATGTCCGCGCCGATTAAAACGGAAATATGATTCGTTCCATCGGCGCCGCCGCAGTCTGTCAAGTGACGCCGAATGCTTGGAGTTTGGATTTGATTTCTACATCTGGTACTCGTATATCGGCATTGTTATGACTGGTACTTCAATGACTTCAGATTTATGGATTTTTCAGGGTCATTAATATTTCGGAGCGTAAGTTCAACTTCTTTCGACGCCAATGTTTCCCGTTCTTTTTACCGAAGGTATGCAGATTTAAAACAGTTTCTCCTTTCACTGGTAACTGTAATTTTCTTGATAAATCTTCTCGAATTGCAGAGATTTGGCTACCGCCGTCAAGAAGATTTCTCACAATACAATTCTTATTTCTGCCCTCAGCAACAGCATACACCGTTTGAAGCATAATATTAGATCCAGTTTTGGCAGAAGAATTTTGAACAATTTCTGCCAATGTTTCGGTTTCCTTATTTTTTACATTGAAGACAGCTGATGTGGGATTTACACACACACTTTCATGATGTTTACCGCGGCACTTTTTGCAGGAAAACTGTTTGTTCTTACAGTTGATAGCTAATGTTTTACATCCAAACACAAAAAAACATTTTCCTGTACATTTCAAAATGTTTCGTTTTCTCTTCAGAGTTCACCTCAGTAC